TAACTCAAAAATAGGTTAACTCTAAACCTCTAGTAGGGCCTAACCTAACTCATGATTTTTTTCAAATCGTTTCAACCTGCTAATTTAGTAATTTTTGTTGGTTGTTGGTACATCCCTGGCGTTTCTGACAGACAGATGACTTGTATCTAATATCTATACATCCATATAGAAGGATTTCCACATTTACTGAACTTTTGTTGACCATCTTTCATAACCACAAATCGCGAATTTTCATTTAAAGAATTGTTTCTATTGTCCGTGAATGTTTAAATCTGAGATTTCCGGAGAATGTCGCTCCAAAATATAGAAATCTGCAATTCGAAGATATGACTATAGGTACTGAACGTAGGCTTATTTCACGAGACCGAAATGACGTATGCATTACGAGAAGTATGGATGACTGCTGGACTGACCATCGGCTGATACGAGCCAGAATGAACTTGCGGATCCCACCAAAGATAGATGTAAAAAAAAACCAGTTCAAACGCAAATTTAACATGGAACGCCTTTAAGACGATAATATCAGGACAAACTCCCAAGCCTCTCTAAGCCAGAAACTTCCGTTAGAGTACTTACACGGAAAGCATTGAGGAGCATTGAGAAATCAATAACATTTCTACCTCCAAAGAAACGGTCGGCTAAAAAGGAAACATCAAGACTGGTTCAATGAGAACGACACTGAAATTCAAGAGTTTATAGGAAGAAAAAAAAGAGCGCATAATTCATGGAAAAATGACCCCAGCTCAACTGTAAAAAATAAGGCAATACTAATAAGCAAAAGCAGAAGTTCAAAGGAAAACGCGACCATTAAAGAACCAATGGCGGATAACAAAATCAAAACAAATGCAGCAACTAGCTTATATCCAATAGCACCAGGGCCTTCTAATAAGTAAAATATGGATTACTGAGACGGAGACGTCATACCTGCCGAAGAGATGCCTCCATAGTTGCCATTTTTAAGAACGGAGACAAGGCTCAATGTAGAAACTACAGAGGAATATTCTTTCTGTAGCAGCAAAGATACTTGCCAGGATATTATCAAATCGTTTAATCCCAACTGCCGAAGATTTTCGGTATCGAGTGATCGCCTATGCTATTGTCAACTAGCTAGTTAGGAAAGGAGGGCCCGGTATTCAACCTAATTAATTTAATTGCCGATTCGGTCGGATGTTTATTACAATTCAGCAAAACAATCACATCAATAGCGGGCCAAGCCGAGCAACAGACAGACTTGAACCAGTGTTAGTACCGCCACCCTGGGAACACCCCTCTGGAGTCAAGTCTCCCCAGTGCAAGTACCGACACGCCACCCTGGGAAAACCCCTCTAGATGAGGATCAGTTAAACATCGATTAGCATACAACGTAACATTAGTAATAATAAACCGACATTCCTAAGTAGCGTCAAACGTGTGGCCCTATCCACGGAAGAGCATGCATCCTGGAGGATTTATGTAATGACTTCATAGCAAATATACATATTTTTATAATAACCTGAGCGAGTTTCTCTACATCTATCCACCCTACGCCCCCCGTCATAGAGAGGTTGTGACATTTGGTAGAGGCACCGGGCACTCTATAAAATAAATAGGACACAAAACGGCTTAGAAAAAGTATTGTACTACTAATACTTTTTCTAATCATAATAATATCAATGAGAGAAGAAATTCTGTGGGAGCTACATGCGTCACCGACACGTGGACACTTGGGACTTAGCAAAACAACGGACAAAATTGAAAACAGATGTTTTTGGAACGGAATGTTAAAGGACATCGAAAAGTACGTTAAGGGATGGCCAGATTGCCAAGCTAGAAAGGGACAACCTTAAAGAAAAACGCCAGGGATGCTACAACCAATACCGGTGGGAACAATTTTCGACAAAATCGGAATGTATCTTTTAGGCCAATTTAGAAAAAGTAGTAAAGGGAAAATAATGATAGTTGTAGTTACCGATTACGCCTCACGATATGCCATCACAGCCGCTCTACCGAATGGTATTCTTGATACATGGGATGCCACGAAATATGCTTAGCGACAGAAGAGAAGTCTTTCAATCGGAATTAGTAAGGGAATTAGGAAAAAAATGGGAGGAAGAAGCCAACTCACAGCTGCATACCATCCTTGTTGTAACGGTTTCACTGAAAGGCTAAATAAGATAGCTGACATGTTATCCATGTATTGTAACACACAGCAAGCGGACTGGTGCAGCTATCGGGTCTTCAAAAAAAAAAAACCAATCAAAGATTGCTATGGTTTTTTAAACGTATGTCTTAGCAAAATTTTTCTTTCATTTTGTCAATGAACCTAATGTCAAAATGGCATGTCAAAAATCCTGACCAATAAAGAAACAGTAATGCGACGTACGTTTTCGTAATCAAAGCAATCTTGATATACCCGATATCTACTATTTATAACATTTGCGTATAATACAGCGATACAGGATACAAGATTTAACCCATTTATGTTAACATATGCAAGAGAACCCACACTACCAATACAGCAGAAGCTGCATTGTTGGACGCTGACAACCAAACGGACGCTCTGCAAATTAGAGAAAATGCACTCCTGATAAGATCCATATAGCAGTAGAAAATATACGAAAAAGACAAGGAAAAGATAAGGGACGTTTTGACGAACGACATAGAGAATTAGATTTCGTAGTTGGATACAAAGTGAAGGTGTTCTCACCAATTGGAAAGGTTGGAAGAAGCGAAAAGTTACTCTTGAGATGGTTTGGACCATACAAAGTAATTAGAAAAATGGGAGAAGTGAATTACGAGGTAGAAAAGATTGGAAGCAGAAAAAAGGTACGGTTCACGTGAGTAGGATTTTACCCTACTATGATTCATGGACAGAAGCTGCGCCTATTGAAGAAAGGGCAGAGGAGACAGATATAGCTGAAGACGCAGAATCTGAGGTTAATGGAGAAACAGAGGATAAAGACGACGAAGAAAAAATTTAAGAGGAAAATGGGAGCAGTGAAGCAGAAACTCAGGTAGAAGAAGACTGATTGTACAGATAAAACATAAGTAAAACTGTGAAGTAGGGAAATAGGAGGTAGAGAACAACATTATATTAAAATAGCATCTATAAAAATAATCAATTTAAAAAAAATTTGGTACATGCAGGAAATATTCAATTTTATTATGGATATGGATATTTTTTTTCAATTAAATTCCTTCGGATTTGAAAAAAAAGTATCAACAAATTCCAACAATCTTCAGGAACAAATTCTATGTCTACATCTCCGCGTCCCATCAGTCAAACTCGCATAACACCACATCTTGCCATAAATAGTTTATATTTGGCTCTATTGCCTCCACCGTCAATCTCATTGTAATTTCTTGACCCTTATTATCTATCATACATAAAAAACTAGCAGTAACACTCACCCTCGATGAGGAGGGGGCTAAGTTGACACAAATTAACAGAAAGTACTACATCCAACTTGATAGATTGAAAAATTCAAATTCAAAAAACAAAGATATAACAATTTTCAGTCTGTGTGAACTAATCTTTTTAGCGCAAGTAACAGAGATTTATCTAGATATTCTCATTCGTGTTTTATACTATATCCTCCCTGCATTAGGAGGCGGGACTTTGTAATTATAAACTATGAATTATTCAACATAAATTTATAAAGGGGTAAGCTCCTTTGCTAAGGGTAAATTTGTATTTCTATAATAATTAGTCTGATTTCCTTTAGGATCTTGCTTAGATAAGGTGACAAGCTGGTATACTTAATAATGTATATCTTCTGTCCATCAAAGTACCGTTACGAAATTATATTGGTGCGTAAAAGCCGACGTCACTGTGCACGATCAATGCATCCATACGGGAATATACAGGCATTTGTTCGCATACCAGAATATTCTTTGAAAACCAAAAGTGATACAAGACTAGCCACTGTACAAGTGGTAGTGACTTCGGAGAAGAAATCCACAGAATGATTCTTCTAGAACATTCTATCAAGTACATTCTATCAGTACAACTGACTGGAGAATTCAACTGAGATCTCGCTTCCCTTCTGTAGGTCTATTTTTGAAAAATATCGCATACGAAAATTGATATGGTTTCGAACACTTCCCATTTAATTTACATATCTGTCAGTCAAATTCGAATCATATTTCGTATGCGATATTTTTCAAGAATTGGGCCATTGGTGATTCTCAGCCTTCAATAGAGAAGTCGCAACAGTACAATTTTCTCTGGTAAAGTGCATAACATAGTAGATGCTATATCCAGGTGACCATGACCAGTCCAATCAATGAATCAATGCCTCAGAATTTATCAGCGTGAAGGAGTTCCTGTTAGAAGCTACTACCAAAGGTATGTTCTCACAAGAAACAAGTGCTCAGCTAACTTACCGATTGAAAACACGTATGGGCGATGCTTTCTGACAGTTTGCAGACCCTTGACTCTTGTGAAAACAGACCTCAAAACGACTAGCAGCATGGCAGTCGACGAGGAACAGAGATGGTCATTTCTCTAGTTCCTGTTACGTCAGTCTATAGACTGAAGAAGAGCCAAGCAGGCTTTGGTAGACTTGGATGGCCAAGAAGGCATCCTAGAGGGCATTCATTTCACAGGGATAGACATGTAAGGCATGTGAAAAGATGGTATGATGGCAATGATTACGAGTATAACGAATAACATAGATCCAGAGAACATTATTTCCAAAGACATAGTTCAAAGGATTCTTTAAGAGCATAGTGCTGGTAGTACAGGTAGATGCAGAATGATAGGTGGGTTGAGAGAGTTTAAGTAGACCAGGGCTTGAATTTCCTGGCCTCTATAATTGGAATCAATTCCCAGAATTTTTGTGCCAGCGAAGTTTGATAACTTTATTACAAATTGGTAGATATGCATTATCTAAGAACAAGAGTTTATTTATTTCTGCTCCCCACTTTACAGATTATAGCGACACAAATATTAACATAGTATAACGTGCCATTAGTATGTTTAATTTACGTTTAATTCAAATTTATAATTTGTAACTTACCGCCAGCTCCATTTAGGGGTTCGTTCCAACTAGGTAAATTGTTACCTGTAATTAAAAATATAAAAATTAATCCAAAATATATTCTAACTTGTCGTTATCATACTGTTAATTCAAATTCCACTGGACTTTTAGAATTTTGATAAGGGATGGGAGAATTAAAAACGTTGCAAATAAATAACATATCAAGGAAACAACCATTATCGCCAAATTTTTTTTTCCATAACCAGGTACATATTTATTAGATACTAAATAAGTGTATTGCCTAACATTTTCAAAAAAAAATTATATTATAGGATTTTCTAAAGGGGCTCTTTAGGAAACTTAACATCTGGTTTCATTTGTACCAAGCCCAATCCCAATAAACACTTTTTTCAAAAATTACTATACAGGTTAATTAAAAAATATAAAAAAATCTTCCCCTGAAAAAATCATCCCCTATTTACAACCCTTGACTTTTTTTTTTTAAATGGCGCCCCTATTATTATTTTTTATTTTTGAGAATCTTATGAAATTACAAATTTAACGGTGTATAAAAAGTTTGTTTTTCCATGTCTTTTGGGGAAAAAAAATGGGTCTCCCACCCTTAGTCTTATACAGGCAATCACTTTTTTGTTTCCAAAAATAAAAATGTGACAAAAAAAAATTAATTGTGTGCAAATTAACTCCTTTTCAAAAATATAAAAAAAATCTTCCCTAACAAACTAATCCCCTAAAAACAACTCTTGCCTTTTTTTTCAAATAGAACCCTATTATTATTATTTTCATTTTTGATTTTTTTTTCCTACGAAACATGGAAAAACAAACTTTTCAGTTTTCATGCATCATTGAATTTGCAATTTCATGAGCTTCTCGAAAATAAAAATAAATAATAGGGGTGCCATTTGAAAAAAAAAGTAAAGGTTTGTAAATAGGGGATGATTTTTTCAGGGGAAGATTTTTTTATATTTTTGAAGAGAGCTTAACTAATCATTAGTCATTTTTTTTTTGTTTCAAATTTTTAATTCTAAAAATAAGAAAGTTATGGCCTGTAACGCTGATTGTGGGAGACCCTGCATATATATCTAAATCCAGTTTCTGTTTCTGTTTTATGAAACAACGCGCAATGTACAAAGCTTCGAACAAAAAAAATTTTGAATTAATTATAAGGATGAACCTATAGCCATAAAGACAATTGGCATTACTGATTTATAAATTTATAATTAAAATTAAAATGCATAATTTCATGGTAACACGCGTTCTTTACATTGAATTTATGTTTTAAAACTACCTATATAAGGTATTGTTTTAAAATCGAATTTAAAAAACAAAAACATGAACAATTCATTTTTTCAATAAATACAATACCTACTATATTCTATAAAAATGTATTTCTTGCACAAGAAAATTTTTCTTGGAAAATTTTTCAAGTTTTATTCAATATGTTGCCTTCTAGACAGTATTAAGTAATGTTTTTTGCTATTAAATCCACAGTCACACGAATTATGAGTAATGTAATCCGAGCCGACTAGAGCCACCCGTTAAAAATTGAAATTTAATACAATACGTAACACGCCTTAAATGTAAACTTATACTACTGAAGCAAATGATAATGAGGTTTTTCACTTCGTGTAGTTTGAAATGTACAGCATGATTTTGGATAGAACGTTTAACAAAACGAGTCAATGAGACCCTATAAGCATGATAATGAAAACAAGATAAGATTATTATTGTTGACAATCAGAATAATTTGTTCTTAAGTTAAAAACAATGATAATTAAAATTGAAAACTATTAGTATTAGTGTCAATAAAACAAACAATAAATATTGTTAACATAATCAGTTTTGGGGTACAAAACATGTAGTATTTTCAAAATTTAATTTATATAAGTTGTGGTTTAATTTTTATCAACCTCTAACGATAATAGAATACGAAACATTTGTAAACAAAATAATGTTAAAGTCGAGTTTGAAATGCGTTAAATTAATCCGTTAATGGCGATAATCCTCATTACTTGTACACATATAAAATGCATTTTTTTTTTAACTTGAATTATTTAATCATACCCTATTACGTTTAACGTTATATCTAACTATAGGTACCCATGCTTCTTTAAAAAAAAAATAGGAAATTGGTAAGCAATTTCATAAAATAGGTAAATTGGTAGAGTACGTGACTAGTTTTAACAAACTTTTAAAAATAATTCAGTATCTACCAGGTCGAATGAATTAAAGTTGCGTAGGCTAGTAAAAGTTAAAAATAATTCTCCCATACGGCTTGCGTTTGGAAGACCGACACATTTCGGGAGAAACCTCTATGCCGAAAATCAGTGATAAAATTATTCTCCGTATAAGATTTTATTATGTTACCTGAACTCGAAACGTTTTATTGCAAACTAAATATAGTGCAAGTCAATGCCCCCAACTTCCGACAAATCTGACGATGAAATTGAAGCGTTTCATGAAGATTTTGAAAACGTTTTATGCTCGATCAAGAAAGGGGATGTCACATGCAGTACTTTACTAGGGGAGCTCAACGCCAAAATCCGAAAAGAAAAATGCCTTGGTGATGACGGACTTGGAACCGTTCAGCCAGGAAAACAGCTTTCGAATAACAAACACTCTATTCAAATTATCCGATCGTCGTCTCTGTAGGTACATTCATGGAATTATCCTCAAGATAAAAGAGATAGTTTCGTAAGAAATCAGATTAGTTAATTTCTGAATAACCGCCTATATAGGAATAGTATTACTTCAGCCAAAAACCTATCCAGTCGAGCTGATATCTCATCGGATCATAATCCCATTATAGCTGGATCTAGTATAATATTTAAAATATGGACAATTAGCTAAAATCATGAATAGTGCAAAATCAACAACAATAACAGGACATATCTTGCTTGGCATAGAAACCAATGCGAACAAACTCGATCGTCCTTTACGGCTGCCAGAAACGATTGCAACCGTATATCCAACGAAGCTAAGGAGTAACACAACCAAGAAGAGCGTAATCAACTTGTCGAGTGAATCAAGGCCCTTTTGGTCCTTTGCCAAGACCATCGGAAAAAATTCCACAACTTCTTTATTTCCACCTTTAGTTAAGTTAAGGAAAATAATTTCATTGTAGTATCGTCAAAGGAGAAAGCAGATCTCTTTGCCAAACAATTTGCATCCAATTCCACGATGGAAAACGATGACAGAGCGCAACATGTACTGATACAAATTGGTTCTTACATATGGACAACGTTTTATTCAGTTCCAAAACTATTAGGAAAATTATTCTTCTGCAACTTGACATTGAGAAATCTTGTGGTCCAGACGGCATTCCGCATTCCACAAATTGTCCTCAAAACTTGCGCAAAAGAATTGGCTTCACTTCTTTGCAAACTGTTTTCACTCTCCTAAAATCGAGGCGTTTTCCTGTCTATCTGGAAATGTGCCAGAGTGCAGCCCATCCCGAAAAAACACAAAAAAAACTCTTCCTAGCAATAATTATTGTCCCCTGTTACTCATATCCGTAGTTTCGAAAGTAATGGAAAAGGCAGTCAACCTAAAACTGGTTAAATATAGGCTCATCTTTGATAAACAGTACGGGTTTCGTTCTAAAAGATCAACAGGGCGAAAAAGATGGCGAATCCAGAATTGTAGCATTGGACATCTCCAAGGCTTTTGATTAGGTATGGCACAAGGATCTCTTCAGCAAACTTCCATCGTATGGTCTTCTGAACAATTTTTGGTCACTGCATCATGGTGTGTCTTCTGACTTCTGATACACTGCCTATAAACGCCAGCGTTCCTCGACAAGGCTCAATTCTATCCCCAACACTGTTTCCCATTTTTATAAATGATTTGCTAAATGAGACAAGAAATCCCATACACAGCTTTGCGAACGATAGTAGCTTGATGGCATCTTTTAGTTCTACACGCCTCGCCCGAGATCCATATTCAATGTATTAACAGTGATCTTGACACCATTATCAACTGGGGCCTTAACAACCTAGTCAAATTCAATGCTTCCAAAACTCGAGCAACAGTATTCTCCAATGATAACCCAATTTTAAGGATGTCGACACAGAACCTTTCTATCAATCCCTCAGTATCTCTTCTTGGGGCTAACGCATCGACCAACTTGTCTTGGCATGATCATTTATTTATCTTCAATCGCCAAAACTGCTTCTCAAAAATTAGGTTTTCTATTTCGTGCAGAAAGCTTCTTGCTTCTTCACTTCTGAACAACTTCTTCTCCTTTATAAGGCTCAGATCAGACTATGTATGGAAAACTGTTCCCACATTTGGAGCGATGCACCCAAGCATTCGTTGGCTCTATTAGACGCAGTACAAAGAAGATCAATAAAAATAATCGATAATCCAACTATCATCGATTCATTGCAATCTCTCGAACACAGACGCAAGGTGGCCGACTTGTCGTTATTCTATCACTATTACCATGCTAGATGTTCTGACGATCTGGCCAGCCTCATTTCAGCTAGGAAACGATATTCCAGAACCACAAGAGCCCAACCTCACGGGGATCCCATCCGTATGTGGTAATGTTGGCTACCCCGAGGACTTCTAAATATAGGGCTTTTTTTGGTGGCGTACTGCTCACCTCTGGAACTGTCTATCTCCTACTTCATTCCCCGAACAATTTAACCTTAGCGTAGGTGTATTCGTCTCTTAATGACTTCCGCTACCGCTTTGGTAGTATAGACTTTGTTTTTTGTGAGCGGTCCAATATGAAAAATTTTAAAAAAGATAACACTTACTCCATTAGTGATGTAAGTGAAAAATGGTATGCCATTAAAGTATCTCTATGAAAAGCATGTGGAGAAATACTCAAAAAACAACCAAAGACGCAAAAATCGATGACTCATAGTATTCTCCGCATTCAATGAATTAGAAACGCAAAGTGAAAAACAACAACAACAAGTACAAAAAGCTTAGAGAAGAAATCGAAATGAAAATTGAACAAGTAAAAGAAGAATAATACAAAAGCAAATGGGAGAAGATAGAAGACTACAAGAAAAGTATGATAGGTTAGGCCGACATGAAAAAATTGATGAGATGAT